AATATGAAAGTGTATGTGGAATTATTTAAAGAAAAAAAGTGATTGGATTAAAAAACTGTTTATAAAATGAGATTCAATAAGAATATATCATGGTTGAATTATATGCACTTAGAAAGATGGACTAATGAATGGGTAAAGAAGTACAACAAAGGTAGAGAATATATAAAGTATGCATAATTTCTATTATCATATGAAGATATTCAGATGAATGACTCAGTGAAGGGTGTAGTGAGTAAAATTTATAGATTCCTGCTAGATCTAGAAGAAGAGACTGAGAATGATGGATTGAAGTTAGTGTGGGAACAAGACTTAGGAAAAAGAATAAATGGTGAAGAATGGATGAAGATGTGGAAAATGAGGGTTTTATGATTTATGTCAGTGAGAATACACTAAAAGACTTTATTTTCAAATTGGGCTTAAGATGGTATTTGACACTGATAAAATTGGATAAAATTAGCGCTACTTATCTCAATGTCTGTTGGAAAGAAGGGAAGGAAATTGGTACATACTTTCATGTGTGGTGGGAATGTGAAAAAGTACAAAGATTTTGGAAACTATTCAAGATATTTTATTTCTTAATAACTGATCACTTCTCCATGAAAAATGTGAATTATCTGATTCCAAACAAGCCCATTCTCCACTATATTGGTGCCTATAATTTCCAGAGACACAGCCACATAGTTACTGTAAAAGCAATAATTTGGCAGAGTTCTGAAGCTACCGGTATTTGCCGGCATATAAGACGACTGGGCATATAAGACAACCCCCCAACATTTCCACTCAAAATATTGAGTTTGTTATATACTCGCCATATAAGACTACCCCCTCTTCCGCACACCTTCCATACACCAAATAAAAGGTGCTATTCATTGTCACCATTTTACGGCTGCAGCATGACCGCAATGCCTTCGGCCCGCCCCTGCATCTCCCTGTGACCAGCACTAGTGCGCTAGTGCACATGTGTGAGCTCTGTGTAGACAAGGGGCGGGCCAGAGCGCCGCTGCTTCCCACCGAGCAGAACAGGCCAGTCACGTCAAAAATGCTGGCACCCCTGTCTCACGGCTGATGTTCGCCGCAGCCGTGCTGGATACCGTGCGATACTGGACGGTATGTAGAATGAGGTGGGCAGGCATCGGGAGGCTACTATGGGCACCGGGCGAGCATTGGAAGGCCACTATGGGCAGCTATGTCTATCCCAACTGAAGTGCATCCAGCGTATAAGATGACCCCCCCCCCCACTTGGAGGCATGTTTTTCAGGGCAAAAAAGAAGTCTTATATGCCAGCAAATACAGTATATTGATTGTGGCAGAAGATTTTGTCAGCTACAACACTTGGTCACACATAACGTTTCTGTAAGTTTCCACAAGAGTTTTCCATTTAATTCCACCCCAATTTCTCTCACTTGTATACCATTTATACACTACATCCAATCCTAAACTGAACATCCTATGGTTTGATATATTGCTTGTTTGTGCAAACTCCATTCTCCCACATTTTCCCAGATTCTAATTTACTGCTGTTTTCAGTATTATGTTCAATTCTTTTACATTTTTGTACAGATTTTTAAAAGGGAGATTTTTGCTTTACTTACTTCGTCGATGCATGTCTACTACTAATTGAAGTTCAAGAATGGCATATTCTCTCACCAAGATAATGTCTTATAACTTTCATGTACTGAATAAAATAAGGATCATTTAACTGAAACTCAAATTCATATTGAATATTACTTTCCCTTCCTTTTCTGTGTCTCCATATTCATCAGTGAGCACGTGGACATACAGATAAAAGTTTCATTATTCAATTAAGAACTGACACATCTCATATGTGGGTAATCTTCTGATGACTCTTTTTCTTAAAACACCGATATGTGTGTTTTTAATTACAGTGGGGTCTCGACTTACGAACTTAATCCGTATTGGAAGGCAGTTCTCAGGTCGAAAAGTTCTTAAGTCGAATCTGCATTTCCCATAGGAATGCATTGAAAACCATTTAATCCGTATCTGCTCTTTTTGTCCATAGAAACTAATGGGAAGCTGCTATTCTGCCTTCTGCCACTAGAGGGGGATATTTTTTCTTTTTTCCTTTTAACCTAAGATGACTTAGCTTTAAAAAAAGGGGGGAAAAAGAGTTCGTAACTCGAATCTAAGTTCGTAAGTTGAGTCCATATATTCCTATGAGAGTGGTTTGTAAGTCGAAACGTTCATATGTCGAGCCGTTCGTAAGTCGAGACCCCACTGTAATAGAAATCTTCATACTTTGAGAGCAGGCATTCTGAACCACATGTTCATTAAGATGTTTTTTCTAGACAAAATGTAAGCACCACTTCCGGCCTGGGTAAGTCATGAATTCTTTTGTAGATCTCTATTCTTAGATGCTGTTTTTGCAGAGTAAAATAATTCTATCATTGGAACTGCCTGTTTTGTTATTGTGTTTCCAAAATACAAGAGGGGAGTGGCAACAATACCAACCTAAACTATGACCCTAAGTTTCTTGCAAAACTGAAAATAGGTAATTTTGAATACAAGCATTAAAGAAAACACCTGCACTTCTGGAAACACTGAGCATTTAATCTGACAACCGTTCCAAGATCATGGTGTTTGTTGTTCTTGTTACATGTCATCAAGTGACCAAAGACCCACAATGATCCCATGAATGAGCAACCTCCAAAATGTCCTGTCATCAGCAGTGCTGCTCAGCTCTTGCTAACTCAAGGCCATTGCTTCTTTGATGGAGTCAATCCATCTTATATTTGGTCTTACTCTTACCCTACTGTCAAGAGCATGGTACACGGGATCATTTCAGTGTGTTTCTTTACAATACTCACAATGGCTGGAATTCCGTTGGTGTTCATATCAGATCTGCCTAAGTTGTCATAGCTAATTGTGGCTAATGGATGAGGCGCTGAGGTGCATCTCAGTTTCACAATTGGACACATGACCCAGCATGTTATCAATGATGCACAATTAGAAGCAGCAGATTTTACGTATCTTGCACAAATGCCAATAGGTTACCTCTGAGACTTTTAAAATAGCAAACTACTCTTAATAAGCTTTATCTTTTTACCTCCAACAGCCCAGTTCTTCCTCTTTTACTATACCATGCACCTCTGGATCTCACTTTGGCTCAAAACCACAAACCAGGTAGTGTTTTGATAGGTATACTGTTTCCAATGTAAAACAACGGTCCCATTCTTCAGATGGAAGAACAAAGGGACAAAGATACTGATTTGCCAAAAGTTGACAAAGAAGGTTATCCCTAGGAACTTGAAACCATGATTCCCAGGACCCAGTTCTACATTATCAGTGCAATATCGGGGCAAAGGGAGACAGACAGAAATCTTCAATAGCATTAACCACATGAACCTAGACTGGAAAATGAAGTGTAAATAACTGAAATAAAGGAACAAGTCAAGGTAAAGTTGGACACCATTTGTGATTAAATAAATAAGGGACCCGGGATGCCTCTAAATGCACACATGCTCACAGTATTAATTCTATATACAGGTCTTCTGTACTATGAAAACTTTAGATATTTTCCTCGCACGGCTCTGTAAAACTTTAGATCCCTTGAAATGATTTCCTCCCCAAATCCTTCAGACCAAAAATAGAGTTGCATTCTCATTTAACATACCAAAGTCATGGCTTTTCTTAATAGCAAAAATGAAAGAGAGGGATCATTTGGGTATCATATCAGCAAATGTGCAACCAGATATTTATTTATTTATTTATTTATTTATTTATTTATTTATTTATTTATTTATTGTAGTGACAATCTCTGTGTATACTGTAACAAATAACCCCATGGTATGTACACTGGTGCCTACATTGGTAGTAACAAGACATTTTTAAAAAAAAAAAAACTAACATTTAGTAGGGTAACCAACATGTTCCCATAGACTGTCTGATATCTACCCCTTAACAAAAATGCTCCAAAACAGACATTCCAATTACTTGTGCACTGATGTGATTGACAAGACAGAAGAATTGAATGTACACATTAAGGCCAATAATGGATTTTACATCTTCAGTGTAAACTGATGTCCACCAAAACTGATTAAGGCTGGAATCGCATACTCTTGTCTGTTAACTTACAAGCCTGCACATACTTCTCTGGGAATAAAGTTCTGCTGAACTCAAAGAGGGATTACTTATAAGCAGACAAGTATAGGGTTGCACTGCAAACCTCTCATCTGAAAACCACTGTGACAGCTCAAGAAGCAAAATGATTGTCTATGCATGTAATCCTGTGTGTGTTGTTTTATTTCTTTTTTATCAACAATACAATACCCTTTACCTATAAATGCTCAAGGAAACCTAGTACCATCTATACCTGGAAATAAAAAGAGATCAGAAACCTGTCAAGAAGTTGGGTGTGCAAACGCCACTGAAGTGAATGAGAACTGTTCACAAACCAAGTTGTTTTTGCTGCCACCCGGCTTCTCCTCTGGAATGAGCCAATCTGGAAAGTTGGAAGGCATTCAGAGGGTTGTGATTTCTTCATTAATTCCTCTTTCAATCTGCACTTGCCTTCTGCTTTATTGACATCCTGAATCCAACCCCCACAAACACACACCCTGCTTAATAAAGAGTTCTGTGAATTTCAACAGCTTGCTATTTCATCAAAGTGTTTAAGACCCTGGAAAGGTACAGTATATTGAGAGCAGCAGAAGATCTGGGCTGCTTCTTACCCTTTGCTTCCATTGACTGGAAACGTGCATATACAAGCTGTTTCTATATTTTCCAGATCTGTTTTCCAGATCCCGCACAGGAAAGCGAGATCTGGAAGAGACCGGCTTTTTTTTTGCAAGGTGATCTGAACAAAAATAAATAAAAAATAAAATACCCATGGGTTTCCTTTCAGTTCCTCAGACACCGGAAGGATTTCCACTCCACACATTTCCATCTGGCAAAAACCTACATCTGGCAAACCACAGCCCTTTCCCACCCTCAAAAGAAATACAGTATAATCAAACAGAGAGAGGGAAAATAGGCACACTTACTCCTAGGCGTCTGCTCCTAATCTTGACATATCCTTGCTTCACGATGTCATTAAAATTGGAAGCCATCCTGGACAATCGGTGTGGCGGAGAAGGACGGGAGTTGGAGCAAAAGTTGAGATGCAATCCAGGTCGTCGGCGTGGCTTGAGANCCTCCCTCCACCCCGATCAGCCCTTGGAACAAATCTCCCGGTCCTTCTGACTCAGAAACCCCGACGGCGAGAGGAGGTTGGAGGAGGGCAGGAAACCTGGGGCGTTGTGGCTGTTGTTTAAAATCCACTGGGGAAGGGAGGGAAGCGTGTGAATGAAACGGAAGAAAGGGTCTCCTCCCGGGTCAGCTGACAGGGGGGAAAAAGACAGCTCGCAGCTGACTGGCTTGGGGAATGAGATCAGAGGATCGGAGGATCAGCCCAGATTCCCCAGTTGCCGCCTCCTCTTTTCCCTGCTCGCCTTCCTCCCCAGGAAGGGGGCGAGGAGATCCGCCCGCCCTTCCTGGCGGCTGCCCGGCAGACCGAAACGCGGGGAGGGGGAGAGAGAGACACCCGCCACCTCCGCCCGGCAGGACCGCCAGATTTTGTGCGAAGGGAGGCTGGGCGCTTCAAGCCAGTGGGGGCAACCCAGCCTATTTCCCGCTGCCCCGTAATTCCCGCCTGCCTCCTTACCTGAGGCGAAGGGGTCAGGCCCCTTCCCTTACCCACGCCTGCCCCCCACCCCACCCCCGTTGAACTGCCAGCCTGTGTGTCTTTGGAGGGTGGGGATGGGTTGGGGTGAATAAGGAGCTTTTCTTTGAACAAATAAGCCCACGGCCCAGCTTTCAAGCCAAACCCAGAGAAAAGCAGTAGGTAGGAAGAATTCTAATGTGGGGGCAAGGTAGAGCTTTGTGCCCCTCAGCTGACTTGTGGGGTGAATACATGAGATGGAGTTGAGTAAACTTTCTACTTTCTTCTCTGTGTCTCTGTGGAAGGTATCTGTAATCTTAGAACCACAGTGCTGGAAGGGACTCTTATGGATCATCGACTCCAGCCCTCCCAGTTAAGGAGACATAGTGGGGAATCGAACTCTCAACCAATGGCTCCACAGACAGATGCCTAAACCACTATCGACACCTGGCACCTGGATTTCAGGAGGAGGCACCCCCAAGCCCCAAACACAGTTTCCCCTGTGAGGAGGAAATGTGTCTGTCTCTCGGTGTGTATGTGTTTAAATGAATAGTTAATACCATGGAAGGCTTTTCTGGATGTACAATAAAATAGTAAACAAAAGTTAGGCCACTAACAGATTCCCAGTCAAACTGTGGAACTGAAAGGGGCATCAAATATATACAAGACCATTGTTCTCCAAAGCAGGAAATTCAGAGTTAAAGCCACCCCTGGCAGAGGGCCATCCCACCTTCATGTAAGAACCTTCTATGAAGGACAGCCCATTCCACGCTCAAAGTCTTGTTATTCCTGATATTCTTCCCACCACCGCCCACATTGAAAGGCAAAAAGAAGAAGAAGAAGCAACAGCAATAGTGCTGGGAAAAGAAAGATAGTTAGAGATTAATTTGTGATTATCCAGGACTTTACTGGGTTATACATTTTCAATGCTAGGGATGAACTTTGTGAAGATATAAAATAATGGACTCATGTGGCTCTGAGGACACACAGAATTCATTCTGTTCACAACCTACCATAGGCTTCCAGATAGAGCCTGTTATAACCACCAATCCTATCACCTTGGAAGTGTGTTTAATATACAGTATTTGTGTGGAAGGTAGGTGCACACATTCTTTCTTTCTTCCCTTAACAAAGTTTTCTGGTAAGAAAAAAAGAAACTGAAGAAGTGGAGAGAAAACACAGGAGGTTTGTAGACAGGAGGGCTGACATTTCATGAATGAGTCAAGAAACTGCAGGATAAAAAATTATTGTGGATGCACCCGATACTAGACTCTGAATCTGAATGAAAGTTAAATTGAAAGGTTCCACTCTGTTTGCAATGTCAGAACAGGATGTTAGGAACTGGGAGTTTCCAGATAGTACATAGACTCCAAAAGCAGGAGGATGGGAGAAGAGCCTTAGAAATCTCTTCCAGAACATGGTCACAGAGGTGGGAAACACTTTACCAGAGTCTTGACATTGAGGTTGCAAAAACCCTATTATAGAGATGGGGACAAATTTTTAAAAAATGGTGATCCGTTTTGATTCATGATCCGTCAAGGTTAATGGCTCAATGGATACAAATATACAAATATTTGTCAACAAATTGATCTGTTGATTTATCTTTCCTTTAAATTGCTATAAAACTGTACCCAACCACCTAGAGACACCAAATTTGCAGGGAAGCTTCCTCAGATGCTTTTCTACAAGGTCTGAAAGTTTGGTGAACATTGGGTCACAGACCCCTGTGTTATATACTCACAAAGAGGACGCCCAGGAAAGCTCCCCCCAGTACTTATAGAGGCCAGAATCACAACGGAGCTTCCTATGTCTTTCCCCAACATGCCTGCCAACATTGGTGAAGACTGGATATTGGTCATATGAGTTATTCACTCTGACCGGATACTGCTTCAAGCTGACAACCTGCAGCAATGGCTCTGTTCTCAGAAAACTTGATAGTAAAATAATGTACATGCGTAACTGTACAGGGAGCTCTGTATGTGATAACTGCCAGGAATATTTCCTGCAAAAACCATATAAAGTGTGGATGTTCTCACATGCTTGCACGCAGATGCAGACACACATGCCAGTACATCTCTTATAGGTGGCCACACCAAGGGAGGCAATAAAGGTCTCTACGAGGACTCAAGCCTTCTTAGTAGTGGCTCCCTTCCTCCCAGCCTTCAGGAAGCAGTTAATGACCTGTCTCTTGAGGAAGCCTTCATAGAGATTCTCCCACCAGGGAATCCAGGCTGCCCTTTGCAAAGATGGCAGCTGCAGCTTCCCTACTCTAAATGAAGCTGCAGCCGCCATCTTTGCAAAGGGCAGCCAGTCTCCATTTTTACATGCATGACTCCGAGGCCAGAAGACATCGGCAGCAGCTATTAATTTAAAAGGGTGTTGGTGGAGGTGTCGTGGGGCCTAAGAAGGGAAAGGAAGGGGGGGGGGTAGGCTGTGGTATCAGGTGATCGGCGGCTGGTAGGCAGAATGGTTGTTTGTTTGTTTGTTGTGGTGGCGCTGCGGGCTAAACCGCAGAAGCCTGTGCTGCAGGGTCAGAAGACCAGCAGTCGTAAGATCGAATCCACGCGACGGAGTGAGCTCCCGTCACTTTGTCCCAGCTCCCACCAACCTAGTGGTTCGAAAGCATGCAAATGCAAGTAGATTAATAGGGACCACCTCGGTGGGAAGGTAACAGCATTCCGTGTCTAAGTCGCACTGGCCATGTGACCACGGAAGATTGTCTTCGGACAAAAACGCTGGCTCTATGGCTTGGAAACGGGGATGAGCACTGCCTCCTAGAGTCGAACGCGACTGGACAAAAATTGTCAAGGGGAACCTTTACCTTTACCTTATGAATACAAACAGGTAAATATTCATCCCTTCGTATACATGGGGGTCTCTGGAACCCACAAATGTGGATCAACAGATATTTAATGAATCTGCTATATTTGTCAGAAAAACTGATCTGTTTTTATATCCGTCTCCATCCCTACCCTATTATGACAAAAGGGGAGTAAGATGATACTTAAAGATATTTATGAAAATGTATTTCCACACATCTGTTACTTGTTGTCCAAATCCTGTCATATTTTTCTGAAGTCAAATGAAAGCAATATTCTGAACACTGAATACTTAGCCCAGCTCTCTAGAACTGTGTGAAGTTAGAATAGGACTCACAGTCATGAGAGAGAAGGATGTGTGTTTCCCCATGCACCATATTCACTTCTAGAGTTCTTTGTTCATATACAGGAGGCAGGACCAGCAACAGTGAGGGATAAAGCACTACCATAACAATCAAGGACATTGATCCTAGGGAAAATGAGAGCCAGAGCTGCTTGTAACTTTCCCAAAGGATATATACATGTTTTAATCAAACACACAGACTGACAAACATACTTTCGGAAAAGAGTGTGAACTATTGTCACTGAAACAATCAAACCAACCAACCTGCAACTAATTCTCTGCCCTAAGGATTCTTGTTTGGTGTTAGAGACTGTGACAGAAGTTTTTAGCAAGTTAGCACAATGCAATAATGTCAGACATTGTCTCATAATGAAATAAGGGTTAAGCTTTGTTTCTCAAGTGTAATCATGTGATAAACATTGACTACAGGTTGATGATAATAATAATTCATTTTCAAGACTCTCTGACCGGATACTGCTTCAAGCTGACAACCTGCAGCAATGGCTCTGTTCTCAGAAAACTTGATAGCAAAACAATGTACATGTGTGACTGTACAGGGAGCTCTGTATGTGAAAACTGCCAGGAATGCCAATATTTCCTGCAAAAACCATATAAAGTGTGGACGTTCTCACATGCTTGCACACAGATGCAGACACACATGCCAGTATGTCTCTTATAGGTGGCCACACCAAGGGAGGCAATAAAGGTCTCTACGAGGACTCAAGCCTTCTTAGTAGTGGCTCCCTTCTTCCCAGCCTTCAGGAAGCAGTTAATGACCTGTCTCTTGAGGAAGCCTTCATAGAGATTCTCCCACCAGAGTTATTGTGAGCATGTTACCAGCCCCCTTTTCTCTCTTGTCTGTTATGAGATGTTTTGTTGGGCTGAGTTCATCTGGGATTGGTTTGGGGGGAGCTGTACTGAATTTATTACATTATTGCCAACCACCCAGAATATTGATTTGCACAAATCAGAAGGTATACAATAACTGAAATAAATAAACTAAGCTAATTTAGCAAAGAGAAGAGAAACTTTGATTTTTGTATCTTTAATTCAGACTTCCAACTGCTGCTGTTACATTTGGGAATCTAGCAGAATAGTTTGGTGAAATCTATTTTATGCCTAGTACATATTTGCAGCTGGGTATTATCTAATTTGGCTTACAGCAGCTCTCAGATTTCAGCCAGAGGTCTTTCCCAGACCAGCGATCGTAGTCTTTGAAATAGAAATGAAGTCAGGGTTAATTGTGGGACCTTCTAGAAAGCATTCTGCCCTCTACCTCCAAACTGGAGCTCTTCCCCTTATAGATCCTGCAGTTTGGCATGGA